TCATCCTCCCTCCCTCTCTCTCTCTCAACCTCCCTCCCTCCCTCTCTCTCCCATCTTTTTTTTTGAAATACTTTGTATAGCCAAGTATGGTGGACATGCCTGTAATCTCAGTACTCTGGGAGGCTGAGGCAAGAGGATCCCAAATTGAAGCCCAGCCTGGGCAACATAACAACTTAGTGAGAACTTGTCTCAAAGTAAAAAAGAGCTGGGGATGTAGCTCAGTGTGAAGGCCCCGGGTTCAGTCCTCAGTACTGCAGTGTTTATATTTATCCGCAGGAGAGCTGATCCAATACTTGCTATCTGCCAGTTAGCAGCTGCAGAACTTTCTGGAAACCCTCCTTTAAGTGAGGGTGTGTTTCAGAATGCAGAGCGCTCTGTGGACACAGGAGTAGCAGCAGTAGCTGTCTGTGAAGTGTTGTTCTGGTCCGTCCTCTGAGCTGAGCTGCAGCAGGCACCCTTACCATGGTGTATCTCACTGCTTGTGTCTGTGGCCTGCCAGGAGGAGCAAGTGCCCTGGGGATACGCACTATACCAGAGTGTGGTCCTGATCCCTCAGTGCCTGGTTCTGCCTCCCCCACCCACAGCCCTGGCCATGGGCAGAGCCCTCTCCTCTGGGGGCCTTTGTGCCCTTGTGCAAGGTCCTGTGGGGCACCTGGAAGGGGTCATGCCCTGTGACCCGAGGCATAGAGGCCAGGGTGAGGCTGGTGAACTGGCATCACCACTCAGCCAGGCCCAGGGCCCCTGGCTCACCAGCTAGGTGGGAAGTGCTGCTGGGCTCTACGGTGCTGGTGCCAGTGCTCCCGTGGCTGCTGGCTGGGGCTGCGCCGGGGCCCAGGCCGCTCCCAGTTCTCCTTCCTGTTTGTGTGAGCAGCGTGCACTTTGGCTCCTAGCGCACACGCTTGTGCCCAAGTGCAGGGCATAGTTGCTGTTGAGCCCTGTTACCCATGCGGTGCCTCCCGAGGGTCTCAGTGATATGCAGCACCTGCTGCTGCCCTGGGGGCTGCCTCCGCTCCTCCCACCCCCAGCTGTAGTACTGGGGATGGCTGAGTACCTGGACTGGTTCCCTGCACAGGGTTTCTGGAGAGGAGGCTGTGTTGCGCTCTTTCTCCAGCATTCTTAGTGCACGGCTGGCGTTGCTTCAGGGCTGATGTTTTATTCAGACATGCTGGCACACACCTGGAATTGCAGGACACTGGGAGGCTGAGACAGGCAGATGGTGAGTTTGAGCTGACTTTGAACATAAAAAACAGAAAGGGTCTGAGGCTGTTGCTCAGTGCTGAGTCCCTGGGTGCAGCTCCCAGTCCCTGGTATGATATGTGGTGTCCACAGTCCTGGAATGAGCCAGTTCACCTTCCCATCTGGGAGGTTGTGAAGCCCTACCATTTGCTTTTGAAGAAGAGACTGAGGTTTTCTGTGGGGTGAGCACAGATCTGCCCGCCTCGCATCCCTGCTCCTGCTTGGCTGGAGAGTCTCAAGGTGCTTGATGAGGTGTGGGGAAGATTGGAGGTAATAGGCAGGCGAGCTTTTAA